TTATATATATATATATAAATATATATATATATATATATATAATATCTTTAATTTTATTTTTAATTATATATTTAATGAAAAATTATTTTAATCGGAACTAAATTTTTTTTATATAACTATAGAAAACACTGAGGCTCTGTATCATACATTGTACACCAATCTGAAAACTAGGAGGACAAATAATTTTTTTTAGTTATATTTTTTTTATCTCTATTTGATCAGTAAAAAAAATACGTATATTAGAACTTTCTAACTTATGAGTGGTATTAAATCTTAGAAAATGTAAAACAATCAACTCAAATAAACATAATACATTGTTAGGGAAAATATATAGAGAGTAAATTTTTTTTTTTTTTTTTTTGGAAAAGTGAGAAAATCCACAAAAGTGGGTTGAATATAGTTAATGCGCACATACCACCCCTGTAGTATGAGATTATTAGCAGACACCCCTTTGGGCATTTTCGAAAGAGTAAAATGGCAAAACGGATATTACAACATTAATTTATGTTAGATCTATGCAAAGGTAATTTAAGGGGCGTTTTCGCTCAAGTTTCAAAGAATAAGGGTGTTAATAGTATACTTTTTAAAATAAAAGGTGAAAGTGCTATGCAGAATATACTTTAAAAGTATTTTCTCCATATTACAATAAATATACAGGATGTCTACTTGAGAAATTGAGACAAATGAGTACCTAGGTCAAGCCTCTCTGTTTAGCCCTAGTGATTTTGCATATGTGAAGAGAGAGGGAGAGAGAGAGAGAGAGGGAGACGTAATAGTTGAACCTAGTGGGGGAAAAAAATAAAATTAATGGTTATTAAATTAGAGAAATAGATTGGGTTATATACAAAGGAGACAACAAACTACCTTACAGCCTTACTCACTTTTACTTTTTAGAAGATTTAGTTACACAATCAGAGGACTTACGGATCCGCTTGGTTTAATTTTTTAAAATAATTCTCAAGAATTTAGAAAACTAAAAACTAATTTTAGAGAATTATAAAAAACAAATTTTTAGCTGAATTTTAAAAAATTCTCAGTCAAACACATTTTTATACAAATTCATGAATTTTAGTTATAAGAAAAACAGAAAACTTAATCAAACAAGCTCTATGTTGTTATCATATGTCCCTTGCTAAAAAAAGTTTCTCTCTTTCTTTTTCTTTGAGCTTGACCTCCCTTATTAAAGGGACAAGCTTTTGAAGCTTAGAAAATCAACATCCCGTTAGCTCACAAAGCTCGGAACCTCCCTTAAAAGGATGAACTCATGAAACTCAAGGAAATCAGTCTTCCTTAACAAAGGATGAGCTCTAGGAAAGTCTACTCCCTTTTTAAATGGCGAGCTCACGAAACTCAAAACATATATCTCCCTTATTAAAGGGACGAGTTCATAAAGTTCAGGAAAACCCATTCCCTTTTTAAAGGGTGAGCCAAGTGAAGCTAATCAAATATACTTTCTTTTTTAAAAGATGAGTTGAGTGAAACTCGTAAAATATATTTCCCTTATTAAATGACAAGAAGAGTAAACCTCGACAAATTCCACTTCCCATATTAAGGGCAAGCGGAGTAAAGCTCGACATATAATACTTTCCTTATTAAAAGGATTAGTTAAATACAAAAAAAAAAAAAAAAAAAAAAAAAAAAAATTGTAGAGGAACGATTTGAAATGAAATCGATTATACATGCTTAGCTCGGATTACCGAGTTTGAAAAAATAAATAAATAAAAGTCCTAAATTGCGTACTTCTCGAGAAAAAGAAAGAAGAGAGATTTATTTGGCATTCCTGATGCTCGACAAGCAAGAACTCGAGAATGGGGGGCAAATGATAAGGAAATTTTGATCGATTAATCCAAACAAGTGTGTACGATGAAGAAATGAGTGCAATCAATAACTCGATATAGCTTCCCCAATGACGGATAAATCAATCAGTTTGAACTTCAGATAAAGGTAATGACAGTCAAATGATAATATGATCCGATATGGTGTACAATGAGTCGAGTTTGATTGCTACAGTACAAGTCAACCACTATAAAGGAGAGGAGTCCGTTAGTGAACCTGGTACGCAAAATATTTAATATAAAATAACTTTTCTATTATACGGTTCCAATCACTGACTTGATTGTCGGAGTGTACCTAGCTGGCACACCGCTGGTTCCAGTCCTAATCACATTTGCTCCATCTTATAGGAAGTTCGTGCCAAGTCGGGTCATGCAGATTTTTGCTTCAACAAGTCTGAAAGGATTGAACACATGGGAATATGTTTAATTTGATTAATAATCAAGAAATTGGTACAATTTTACGTGGTCAATTCTTTTACAACAAGAATCTCCCTTTGATTAAATCTCCTTAACGTGTTCAATGCAAGAGCTTCAACAGCTTGATCTTGGACCGATTGTGGTAAGATTTCTTCAAATATTTGAAATAGAAAGGCTTGATTGCATTTTTGATCGTCGGTAGACAAAGTTTGATCTCGAATGGCTATTTGAAAATCTTCATATAAGAACGACACCTATGTGACGTGCTTATTATTCTTCGTTTTTAGAAGTTTGAGTTTTGGATACGTCATAGATTCGACAAAGCTTTGGCAATCCTTAGTCTTTCTGTTTGTTGAATGTCTAAGGTGGCTTTTTATTTAGAGAAGTGATTTCTGGATCAATTTCGACGGTTACCGAATTTAATTTACGCGAGTGTTGTGGTGAGTTCTATTATATGATGTGACGAGAGAAGTGGTGGGTCCCATCAAATGATGTCATGATGACATCATATAATAAGGCCCATCACAACACTCACATAAATTCAATTTGAAAACTACTCCATAATTGTGCTAAAATTTCAAAGTAAGAGATATTTGTCTCTCTATTTTGAAATAAATTCAAAATAAATCCGAATTAAAATTTGATTTATCAAACTTTCAATGAAAAACTTAACCTTGATATTTTATCATGCGTCCATTAATGAACTCGTATTTAAATTTGGACTTGATATAAAATAAAAAAAATTGAGTCTTTGACTGATTGGACGATATTGAGACAATAATAACATTTTAGTATGTATTGTAATAGATTTGCTTTCATTGGGCTTAATTCTTGGCTTTGCCACAACTCGCTAATGCTACAAAGTGGCTCACCTCATCAATAAGGACTGACGAGCGTTTGACACTTTAGAGAGGAAGATCTTCGCTCTCAGAAAAAATTATAACGATGATATAAAAAGAGGTAAGAAGCAAATGTAATTTCGATTTGTCCATTTATTGATATTATTTTCAAATAAATCATAAATTTAAACTCATTCCAATTATTGAATGATTATAAATACATAGACGAGGAGCATTCCCTTACTTTGGTCTTCTACATTAATCATCATCGCAATGCCAAATTTGAACCCAACAATGGTATTCAAATATATATGTTTTCATTGTTTTGGTTTAATATTTGGTTATTAATTGTACACACCAAATAAATATTTATAATAATATGAGTAAGGCTTGATTTTAAAATAGGGATTGAGTTGTAAAGTAAGGCCAATTCAAACCATTATTATGTAGTTCAAACTGATTCAATCTAGAAAGTTAATTCAAACAATTCTTATAAAATTAAAATTGATTCAACTTAGAAAGTTACACTAGGGATCTTAATTCTATTTTTAACCAACTCTGAATCGATCACCCCGTTAAACATCAATCATCTTTGTGCCTTCAAATCTTTAAAATCAAATTTTTATTTTTTATTTTTAAAAAATTTGTATAAAAAAGAAATGGCTTGTTTGCTTCAATTTTCTAAGAACAATTTTCTTATTTTTTTAAGAACCAAAAATCAAAAAATTATATAAAAAAATATACTTAGTTGATAGTTTTCAAAAGAAGTATTTTCTAAAAATTAAATTAAAAAAAGGTTATTTTTAGGGAAATGTCTTTTACGATTATTCAAGAACAACTTTTGGGTTTCTAAATTCTTGAGATGTGTTTTCGGGAGAAGACAAATCTTGAAAAAAATGTGTTGATTTAAGGGGATTTGGTAACCGACTATTACTCTATTTAACTTATCAAAATTATTCATCTTCTTAAGTTATACCTTGAAGTTATCTTATCAAAATTATTCATTTTTATGGGTTGTAGTTATATATCAGTCTTTCATTTTTCTCTATGCCACGACTATCAATGTTACATTTTATTTCTTTGCTACACAAATCATAATCCATTAGTCTAGCATTCGAAGTTATCTACCACTCTTTCACTCACCCGTCTTTCAATTTCTTTAAAAAAAATATTACATTAAGTATGGACTAAGGTATAGAGATGTCAATACAACGAGTTTGAGACGGGACCTCTTTTCCAAACCCGTCCAATCAATCAAAATCTTTTCTCAAACTCAATTTGAGGATCTCATATACATAATTTTTAAGAAAATATTTTAAATTTGAATGAATTTAAGAGAAATTTTGTAATTTTTTTTGTAGTATTCTCAAATATTTAACAATTAAAATAACAAAAAAAGTTGTTGAAAAATCTAAAATTATTAAAAGAAATAAATCGAAAGGAAAAATTATAGCTAATAAAATAACATTTATTTATATAATACTAATTACTAATTAGGGTGGGTTCCGGACTTTGTAAGTTTTAAATTATTTTCTCAAATACGTTCGAATTACGACCATTGGGACGAGTCCAGGTGGGCACGTAAAATTGACATATCTACTAATTTAGGGTTGCTTATATACAAGGAATACAGGAAACCGCATACTACAAGATTATTGCATTGGAGCTACACAATCTTTATAGTTTTTTTTTTTTTTATTATTTAAATTTATTATTATTACTGTTATTTATTATTAATTTTATTTTATAATTTTGGTCTAATTTGGCCAACTGATGCAAATATATGTTACTCCGTATTATTTATTTATTTATTAACTCCGTATCACACATATATAGGGTAAAATAGTAGTATAAAATTTATTTTCATTTAAATAAATTATAGGTTATTCAAACACAAATTTTACTCGGATTAGAATTCCATTATATACTCCGAACCACCGAACCCCACTTTCAGAGTTTCAGGTTGGAGAAACAGGGAACCCTCGCCGTAACCCGATTAGTGAGTGTTCTGCGTATTCTTTCATATCTCCTTTTCCTTCTCTTCTTCCTTTTCTTCTTCTCCACTAGAAGCCCTAATTTTTTATGTCCTAATTTTCTCTCTTCCACGACAAAGTTATTTCAGATTTTTTTTCTCCTCATCTTCTTCTTTCTTCCCTCTCTCTCACATTGTCAGTGAACCATGTTATGTTGAGATTTGACAAAATTTTTAGTTTTTTGCAGGTATTACAGAGTGAGAAAATTGTTTATCCCAATTGCTTGATTTGTGCAAAAATATATAATTTAAACGCTCGTTCTCAAATTCATGGCGTCCACTGCTCATCTTGAAGAGGTAAGTGCTTTGTTCAATGATTTCAATCTCATTGTTAACTCTCATAAATCTAGCGTTTTGAGGATTGACTGCTTTTCTTGATTTTAAAACACAGGAGGATGATTTTGGAGGTGATTTACCCGGAAGCCACAGTGCTAGGCGTTCAGGTAACTTAATTAGTTTAAAATTGTTTATTTATATATTTGTTTTTAATGTTAATCAGTTTTTTTATTCTAAAATTGTTATTCATTATTTATTTATTTATTATTATTGAATGTTGATCAGTTTGTGATGCATTTTGAGTTATTGTATGAGTTCAGGCAACAAGAGAACCTTTGGAGAACTGGAAGATGACGAGGATGATATCTTTGGCTCCAAGAAGGTATTCTTCATTTTAGTGAACCAATAGACCCGAAGCACATTACACATTCTACTGCACTATATAAGTCAATTGAGTAATAGCACCATACAAACTTGCTTTAGAACCTCTACAGAAACAGTAATTAATGAAATCAAGACCTTAATTCCCTTCTTGGTCCTAATCTTTAAGTCTAGACCATTTTGTCACAGTCCAGAGTCCCCTCAACATCTTCAATTATTCAATTATTTGAGCAAGGTGGTCTTCAAGTGAATTTCTCTGAATTCAATTATTTGAGCAAGGTGGACTTCAAGACCCCTTTGAATTTCTCTGAAGAGTGTTTTAACACTATCAGCAAAGCAGTTCATGTCTAAGCTGGTAGGCCCTTCATGGGCCTCTGAAGCCCCAGTGAGCCAGGAAGCAATCTTGGATTGTATTTCCATCATTAAAAAAATCCTGAACCAAATGTATTGAGGATAGGTGTGAGGGTGGGGGCTGAGTTTGCTGTGAGATGGGGGGAAGAAGAGAATTTCAGGGTTTTAGTGAAGAGGGATGAAGGAGAGGAAGGACAAGAGAGGAGAATAAGAGTAAGAGAGCTTGCGAAGATGGCAAACAGGGCACTAGAGGAAGGGTGTTCTTCTTTTCTCAACATGACATGTTAATCCAAGGCATTAATGCAACAACTTATGATCAATCAGTCTTTGACATGACATAGAGAGGCAGGTCAATTGGTTACAGTGCACTGTAGTAACCAATCAAATGGTCCTTTATGTAAAATGTATTCCTTGATGTCCTTTATGATTTCTTTGGCTCCAAGTAGGTGGGATGAGTGTTGAGAAAACATACATATTTACACACACACACACGCACACACATATATATAATGCAAAATGAACTTTTTTTGGAACTAGTATGTCCTGCTGATTGTGTAATGTGCAATTTGTCAAAACTAGTTGCAGTGTAGGAACGAGCATTTGGACCAATTCCTTGTCTGTTTTTCTGAATCTAAGGGAATATCTTTGCCTTTGTTTATGATGTAGGGTAACTTGAAAGTAGAAGAAACTGCACCTGGTGTGGCAACAGGAATGATTTTGTCTCTTCGTGAGAGGTATTGTTAGAAACTGGTTGATTCTCTTGTTAAAATGTTTTAAACATTCATGTCATTGTTAGACATTCTTATAATATATTGTCTAGCACCTTATACTTTTTCCCTTTGTTATTTTAATTTTTTGCAGTCTCCAAAACTGTAAGGATTCCCTCGCAACATGCCAAGTATGTATAAGTCTTTGTATTGTAATTATCGTTTCTATTTTTGGTTGTCTTTTGAGTTCTATTGTATGATAATTTCATGGTAATTATGTATCTATTTCTGCAAGGATGTATACATTTAATGACCATGTTATGGAACAGTGTTAGAGGAGGAAATTTAGTTCCCGCCATTAAGGAAGAATTCTTATCTGAGTTTGTGGTTTGTTTATTGTAGATCTTATCATTCCTCATTTCGGGCATGAGTTCGGCAAATCTGAATACATTATGGATTTGTTTTGGTTTCAGAAAACTGTCGACCAATTCTGAAGAATTTGTTAACTGTTTTGGTGCAAAATTTAGCATGACAATTTAACTTGAAATTGGGTATATTTGAGCTGATTAATTTCCCATGCTCTTTTTGTGAAACATTTAGGAATTGAAGAGAAGACAAGTCAGCTACGCACACTCTCTTGGGATTATCAAACAATATTTTACATTTAAAGAACATAGGTACTAGTAATAAATAGAATTGGACATATCAATACAAACAATTTCTCTATAGAAAAATTATTGGTATGAACAATGGCCATACATATCTTAAGTGTTAAATTAAGGGCAAATTTCACGAAACCCCCAATACTATCAGTTTTTGATCAAATACCCCCAACCTACTTTAGAAAACCCCCAACACTATGAAATTTGATCACATTGCACCAACTATGTGATTAAATGACGAAACTAACCTTCTGATATACCAATTTATTTAAAAAAGAAAAAATCAGTATTTTGCCAATTACAGAAATAACCTTCGCCCTTTTGGAACTGTAAACTAATAACCCACCTATTGATGGATGGTCCAAAATCAATACCTGTGGGGCCCAACCTTTCACAATCAAACCTCTACCGTTGATCTTCTTGTCAAACCTTTTCGGTAACCACTTCTCTCTCTCTTGTTCATCCTCATTATCGTCCTTTCCAAGGACGACCCAGATGAAATTGTGCCTGGAAGCCTTGAGTCCACGCGCTATCTCCATGAGCTGCTTATCAGGGAATCTACACCCACTGCCAAAACAAACGTAGAGAACGGAGTCGGGTTTCTTCGAGTTGAGCCAACTCAGGCACTCGTGCTCACCCACCACCGTCTTGTGGCCCCTTTCAACCTTCTCGCCGGTGCTCCGGTGAATCAGGGATGCCGGACCAATGTGAAATATTTTGTTATTACCCATGGCTTTCTTGTAGTGCCCGGTGTAAGCTGAGTCCAACTCGTAGAAATTGTTGACCAACACTCCATAGCTCTTCAACTCAGCTTGTCTCCACTGTTCCATCAACTGGGTGTACCCGGTTGGAGTCCGAACATAGTCGGGAAGCTGAGACCTGGTCATGGTGATCCGGTCAGGAAGACCCGAAACCATAAACTGGTTTTGTGAAATTTGCCCTATATAGGGTAAAATATAGGGCAAATTTATCACCATTCCTACTTTCACTCCCCAAACTTCCTCTGATTTCTACTACAGTTATCTTTAGAACAACAATTACAAACACCCAGATGAGCACAGAGCCAAAAAAACCGAGATCACATATACATATAATATATACAGACAAAACGCGGTCGTTTTGTGCTTTGGTGACTTAAAAGTCACCAAGGCTATTTTTGTAATTGGCAAAATACCAATTTTTGTTTTTTTAATTGATTTGATATATTAGAAGGTTAGTTTCGTCATTTAATCACAGAGTTGGTGCAATGTGGTCTTGGGGATTTTCTAAAGTAGGTTGGGTGTATTTGATCAAAAATTGATATTATTGGGGGTTTCGTGAAATTTGCCCTTAAATTAATTTACATTTATTTTAACTTAACCCAAATGAAGCCTTTTCAGCTATTTAGAGTCAGCTACATGTAGGAAATGGAATGAATATTAGCAAGTTAATTCTTATAAAAATAAATAAATTGCTAGTTAATGAAAGTTTCTGGAATTGAAATTTATTTGATTGTAATTCTTTGATAAGTAGAGCTAAAATTATGGAAATTAGATACTACTTTTTGTATATGTGACAAAGGCTTTGTTGACTTATTTATATTGCCTTCTTTGCTATTTGGTGGAGTCTATCCAAAATTGACGAAGTCCACTTTACTAGATAGGATTGCAATTCATCCGCCTTTCAGATACCATAAATTTGTGATATGACATTCTAATGGTATTAGTATTATGAAGTGTCTTAGATTCAGTGTGTGATTAGTACATGCCGAAATTAAGAATTATTGGACAGCATGATTCAGTGTATGAAGTGTATTGGTTAATCATTGGGCAGGTAGAAACTAAGAATACTGGAATCAAGTTGAAAAATAGAGGAAGAGAGGTGTCATATGTTCTTGAAAGCAGCAGCCGAGATTTCGAATGAGCGAGTAACATAGCCAAAGTTTAATATGTAGGGAAAAAGGCTATCTTAATCACAAGTTGATTACTTCTTAGCCCAATGATATCACCTAATCAGTTTAACTGTTTACAAGTTATTGATTTATTTATTTATTTTAAAATGATTGGTGGTCTTTTACACTTTCTTTCTGTCTATTGCTGCCGCACTTTGACAACCTTCTTCAAGAATATTATTGATTGCGCATTACATGTTTTTTCACATAGGAGTCCTGGTTATTTTGGCTTAGGTGGGATATCAAGAGGTCACTTAGAGAATATTTTATGGCCTTGTGGTTTATTTGCTTCTTTTTGGCTCAAAGGCAGCTATAGATTTGGACTGGCTGAACTTTTTAATGGAACACATGGTTCCTGATATAATTATGCACTAATTTCCGGGTGAACATGGTTCCTGATATAATTATGTACTAATTGCCGGGTGAACATGCTCATCTTCTGGATAGAATGTTGAAGTACCTGACCTCTTGGTGCATAGTTTCTTTCGGTTCCCTTGTGATTTTATGGCGTTGTTACTTTCTACTGTCGCTTACTGGTTTCACCTCGGAAGGACTTTACTTGAATGCTTGCTTTTCCTGTTTTCTAGAATCTAGACATTTGTTTTTCTCACAGGGGCTGTTATTCTTCTTGGTACTACATCATTCCCTTATAATATACTTTTTTGCTCGCTAAAAATTATTGCTTACATTACTTAGAAGTTGCTCTCTAATAAATCTGAAATATGTAATAGAGATTATAGATTTAAACTTTTTCTCGAAAGGCAATTAAGTTATTATTTCTTTATTGGAGTTGATCGGAATGGAAACTTTGTCATTCCTGTTCTGTTGCCATACAAGAAGGTTGTTCTTGTATGAAGAAATATTAATTATCTTAAATACTGCATAGAGTTATTTTTGAAGCTTTCATTAATTCAAAGTTGCCAAAATAGCTCTACCTTTCAATTAAAACTGATGCCTTTGAAAAAGAAGAAGAAAAGATTCACGTGAAAAGGAGCATAAAAGTTAATGACTTTGAGTGCACTGAAACTACACCATACTGATATGGTGTAGCTGCAGTACATTTGTAGTTAAGTTATTCTCTTGCCCCTTAGCTTAATCAAGCACTTCCAAGTTACACCATAACAGTCAGAATTAATTGATCTTGTAGTCATCATGAGTCATGATTATCCTTATTGGCATGATATTGATGGACTTATGCACTATCATTCTGATTTGAGTGCTACATTGCTTTTGATAGGTTGGTTAAAATGCTTACATAATGTGCTTACATATTGTACTTCAGAAATGTCTTATTGCTCAAATGCTAGCAACCTTTTTTTATGTTTTTAAGGCATTCAGATCATATGATTTTACAGTGTACGCTCGTCTTATTTTGGTTTCTTTTATAGCATTTTTGAAAAGTCCTTGATCAAGACTTGGTTAATTTTTATTGGTCTGGACTGGCATGTAATTGTAATAATTGTTTGAATCCCTATAGATTGCATTGGTTTTGGATCTGAATGTATTATTTGTTGAGCATCAAAATTTTCGACTGGCATGAATTTTGACCTTGTAGCATGAGGTTGAAATTATCATGCAATCTGTTGCAGAGTTCATGCCTTTTACATTTTGAATATAATTCGAGCTATTTATTGTATTTCTACTCATGACTGTATTGGTTTCAGACGGAGCTTGAAGCTGCTAAGTCTGAGATTCAGAAGTGGCATTCTTCATTTCAAAATGAGTCCTTCGTACCTGCAGGCACATCCCCTGGTTAGTCGTTTCGTGGTGCATTAGTTGTGTTGCCAGTTAGGACATATGAGCTTCTTTCCTTTTTCTTCCCTCTGTCATCTAATCTTACGTTTCTTTCATCTTTGTAGAACCTAGATTAGTTGTCAGTTGTCTTCAGACCCTTAAATCCTCCGAGGAATCACTGCGAGAACAGGTTTGGTGTTCAATATTATTCTTTGTTAGCCGTGTAAGGAGTCTTCATTAGTCAATGGACGATTTCATCCATGTATGGTTTTTATTGTTATCAGCTGGAAAAAGCAAAGAAAAAGGAAGCTGCATTCCTTGTAACTTTTGCAAAGCGAGAGCAGGAGATAGCAGAGTTGAAGGTAAGTAGTTTTCTTTTCCTGTCCATTTTTGTAGTGTGTGCAGGTTTTAATTACATTCTGTAGGTTTTTAGCTTTGTTGCAGTTCTTGAAAGAGGCATCTATTATATTAATTAAGAGGAAGCTGAAATCCATGGGTGTAGAATGGGCATTGCTTCAGTGAAAGTGAACAAAGATAACTCTGAATCTCCTGCAAAAAATCTTCTTTTGAACTTGTACTTCCTATAGCTTGAGCTTTCACTTTAATATGAGTGGATAATGGTTCTTTAGAGAAATGTTTAAAAGACTAGCAACATCCAATGCTTTGAGGATGTTGGGAGTGTTCTTGAGGGCCATGACAATATTGTTACCTGTTCTACGAGTGTCAAGCCCATATATTTTTGTATTTGTTATGGATGAACTTATAGGACCTGTTTAGGATTACGTTCCACGTCTTATGCTATTTTTTGATGATGGATGAACCTAGAGTTAGAACTACTAAATTAAGGTCTGGAGTGAAGTTACTGAATCAAAAAGCTTCCGGATAAGTAGTACTAAAATTGAATATATGGGATGTACTTCAGGAAACTTAATGCTTCGTTCGGTAGGAAGGAAAATTTTTTGATGGAAGGGATAGCAGAAGAGATGAATGAGACATCTCTAGTGAAGAAACTGTGTCCTTTCCTCTTTTTGTTCAGTTGAACGGAGGAGAAGAGAATGAGTTCACAAATGACTGTTCGTTAGGAGAGAAGGGAAGAGAGAGTTTTATTTTGGTTTTTCCATTATACCTATCACTATCTATTGTATTCAGTGTTGTCAAAGGCCCGCCCTAAGGCGCTAGAGGTTCTCTGAAGCCTAGGCAGAAGGCGAGGTGTGTGCCAGAGTGAAGTGAGGCTCACAATGGAAAAAAATAATTTACTATTAAAGTATTCATATTCAATATAACAGGCGCAAATGTTGTCAAAGTCGCACCTGGCACACAACAGGCGCAAGTCTTACTCCTGGAGCCTAGACGCGTGCCTAGGCGAATTTGAATTGGGCATCTTTCTATTGGTGCCTTTGACAACACTGATTGTATTGTAATTTATGGAGGATAATATTGTAATTTAAAAGTTGTATGATAGACCCACTTGTATTCCCTCCCTCTCTTTCGCCCATATTTGGAGGGATGAAAATTTGTAGAGGAGGAAGTATGACTCATCCATTGTGTTATCTTTTCTCTCCTTATCTCCTCTCTATAGAACGAAGGAAATTTGTTCCTTCTTATCTTCCCTCCACCCCACTTCCTTCCTTCCTACCACACAAAGCATAAATTACAAATGTGGATGCAGTGAAGATTGAGAGTCAAAGATACCAAAAAGTGAACATGTTTGTTACATAGGCTCAATTATTCAAAAATAAGAAATTGCAGATATTATTAATAATAATGTCAAAACAGGATGGTTTAAATGGGGTGATTTTGGTAGGTTATGTTGCTAGCTTCTTTTGCGAAGAGGATCGAGAAGCTTTAGAGGAATTTTCTATGGGGTCGTATGGGTGATGAGGTCAAATACCACCTCGTCAATTGGGAGCAGGTCTGCAAGCCGCTTAGTGCTAGAGATTTGGGTGTTGGGAGATTGGAGTTGTTCAAGAAAGCTTTGTTGGGCAAACGGTTTTGGAGGTTTGGAGTGGAGAGGCACATACTGTGGAGGAGGGTTATCAGCCCCAAGATTGGGGAAGGCAAGGGTGGCTGGAGCCCTTTGGAGGTGAGATCTTCTTCATCTGGAAGGGGTGGGATTAATTCTCTAAACATATTCCATTTATACCTAAGAGGTGAAGTCAGGTCTAGTTTAGGAGTGATATTTTGTGTGGAGAGAAGACATTTATGGATGCCTTCCTGAGACTCTTTAGGATTGCTACAAACATATCCTCATCCGCGCGGATTGCTGTTGCCTTGATTGCGGGGGATTCGTATGGGATATTCAGTTTCAAGGCATCTTCAGGATTTGGAGGTAGACGACTTACGGAGTTTCTGGCGTTGTTGTATATAGCCAGCAAGTGGGTGGTGAGGGAGCGAATGAGTGGGTTTGGGTGGCTGATTCTCATGACAGATTTATTCACTCCTTCTATTAGAGCTTGATGGTTTGCAGGAGTCTCAGTTCCCTTGGGAGGCCATCTGAAGGTCCTAAGCCCCTGGTGTTGTATGTGTAAGAGAGATGAGGAGTCAGTGAACCATTTGCTAGTGGCTTGGGATGGGTGGTACTTGATTTTTGCCCTGTTTGGAGTGTGTTGGATACTGGGGTTACGCCACTTTCTACGAGTAGCATGCTCGAAACTTGGGATGGTTGTATATTGGGGAAACATTTTCGGGGTGCTTGGAGGGCTTTCCCCCTTTGTATTTGTTAGGGTCTGTGGCGGAGAGGAATAGGAGATCCTTTGATGAGGACACTTCTATGTGGGTGCTTAAGTTTGATATTTAGATCTTTATTTTTTGGTATTCATGATCGATACTATAAATCCGAGGAGGAACTTTTGTTTTTTTGGGATAGTCTAAGGATATAGCATGCGCTCCCCTCTTAAGTGCCTTTTATAATAATTTACGTATAAAAAAAACAATCACATCTAATATTGAAAGCCAAATTCTATCATACTTTTCTTACTATAACCATACTTAATGGAACAAAATGTTGTGTCTACAAAAAAATAAATATTTTAAAAATGTGTGCAATTGTAATGCAAATGTTGTGAGAGTGGTACAAAACAAGAAAGTATAATTTTGGAAATGAACTCCTGTTACACATTTGATGTAACACACAATTTAAATAAATTGAAATTGATTAAGATAGTTTTTACCTTTTTATTGAAAGACGAATAATTGTCCGGCAAGGAAAATGATGTGGTCAATGTTGAGAGGGTGATGTCAGGGGGAGGAGAATACCAAAACTAATATATGATAGCATGTGATATGATTGAGTTTTATGAACTAGATGTAGCGGAATTGTTAAATTTATGATGTGGAAATATAAGATGTAAAATAGGAAGATGAAATAGAGAAAGATTAAGAACACAACATATACATGGTTCGGCACTAAGGCCTACATCCATGGATTAAGAGCCACTAAGGCTACATTTCTCTATTGCTTGTATTACTTGATGTGTTTACATTGTATTGATACACAATATATAGGGAATAAATCAAGGAGGAAAGAAGGGAAAAGGAGTAAATAAAGGAGGAAAGAAGGGAAAAAGAAACATAATATACATATACATACATATATATAATATATTTCAATACTCCCCTAGAAACTCAAGATGGGTTTTCGAAGCCAACTTGAGTTTGGAGATGAAATCTTGAAAACGGTGGTGGAGCGAAAAGCATCCGAAAGGCCGGAACAACGTTGGGAAAATGCCGGAACAAAGTCGGGAAATGCCAGAACAAAGTCGGGAAATAGTCAGAACAATGTTGAGAAATGCCGGAACAATGCCGGGAAATAGTCGGAACACAGTCGAGAAATGGGCAGGAACAACACCGGGGCGATCCATCCAAGAAATGAAAAAGATCCGGAACAAAGGCGGTAAAAGGCAGGAACTAAGCTGGTAAACTGCCAGAACTAAGTTGGTAAATGGCCGGAACTATGCTGGTAAACTGCGAGAACTAAGCCGGTAATCAACAACAGGCCGGAACTTCGCCGGTCTTCAACAACTGTGCTGGATCTGAGCCGGTCACCAACAACAAGGCCTGAAAACTTTGGTGGAACGAGAGCCGGCAACGCTTGGATCAACATGGCCGGCAACGGCTGAGATCAACGGGGCGGCAAAACGCCGGGTAACTACATGGCAGAGAGAATTGCTCCCCCTCAAACTCGAAATGGGCTGCTGGTACATCCGATATGATTTGTTTTTTTGTAAAAGAAGGATTGGAGATGGTGTAATATTCTCTTGAAACGGCTGAGCAGGCTAGACAAATTGATCCATGCGCGCATACGCAACAGAGAACAGCCGACAAGTTTCTGTTACTTTACTTTTCTTCACACTTTTCCTTCTCCATCCGAGAGGCATTCCGACTCTCACCCACTTATATTTCTTTTCTCTTTCTTTTACTTTTGCTTTATCCAACTAAAACAACTTCGCTGCCCCCAAAAATTCACTCTTCTCTTTTTTTTTTTTAATAAAAAAAGGGGAAACTCTCGGGTGTGGTATAAAGGGGTCCCACATCCCTTTTATCAGTGCACTCGCATGCTCTCTCTCCAACAAAGAAGAACGGCGAAATTGAATAGGTCACTGGAGAAGAATTGAGCAGAGATCTATAGAGAGAACAGGTCGGCAGAACAGAACGCCGGTGACAGTGCAGGCACAGATTGAATGACAAATGGACGTCAAATCGCGTCTGTAAGGGAAAGCCGACGAAACTCAACAAAGCAAATCTATGCTCTGAATTAGATACAAACCGCATGTGTGGGCTGCCAGCGGGGTGGACAGAGAGCTGAACCACAAAGACAATCGGTGCGTGAGTGCACGTGAAAAGGTTGCGGGAGCTTGGGTGAGATGACCAGGAGCTGAAACGATGGTGAGTCGGTCACCGCTTCGGAGCGTTGACAACCGTCGGTGAAGGAGGAGTGCGTTGGTGCGCAAGTGAGATCTATTCGCAAGAGTGTCGGCGCGTGACGGTGTGGGACGTCGAATGGAAGCGCGTGGTTGATTGAAAAAGGAAAACATAGATAGATCTGAACTAGAAACGAATCAGATTTTACTGGTCTTCTCCTTCACTGCTCTCTGCAATCAATAAAGGAAAGGGAAAAAAAATGGCAGAGCTCCAAATGGAGCCACAGAGAAAACAACGCAAACTTTGGTGCAAACGATCTAGGATCGTTGCTTTGTTACCATGTTAAATTTATGATGCAGAAGTATAAGATGTAAAATAGGAAGATGAAATAGAGAAAGATTAAGAACACAACATATACATGGTTCAGCACTAAGGCCTACATCCATGGATCAAGAGCCACTGATGCTAAATTTCTCTTATTGCTTGTATTACTTGATGTATTTACATTGTATTGATACACAATATATAGGGAATAAAGTTGCAGACAAAAGGAATAAATCAAGGAGTAAATCAAAGAGGAAAGATGGGAAAAGGAGTAAATCAAGGAGGAAAGGAGGGAAAAGGAAACAAAATATACATATACATATATATAATATATATTTCAATAGGAATAAAGAAACAAGATTCATGTAACCAACCTTAAATAGTTCTGAAAAGGCTTTGTTGATTTGAATTCAGTTGGGATTCTTTTCTTAATTTTTCCTTTCAAATTAGTGATGGGTGTCTCGGACCCATGTGTCACTTTATTACAAATTTGAGAAAACATTTTCTTATCACTTACTTCAATCTACATGACTGGGAAGATGATCAAAGTTGGTCATTCTTATTATTCAGACCTCCGACCTTCTTCCCTTTTACTTTCTCATGACAATTCAGGATAGATCCGCCTGAAGAGCTACGCCTGAACGGTTTTGTCTCTTCTTTCTTCCTGATAGCGGAAGTGTGTCATTCATGATATATAAAATATTCAGCCAGAGCTGCTTCTGTATGAGGAGCGAAATATTGAAATGTAGCAGGGGACTCTGCTGTTTCGGCTACCACAATAGTGTATTCAACTAATAAGCTCGGCTTGAGGTTTCTTCTCCACCAAATAAGGCTGAAAATGTAAAGATATCCAATGTGCTTGCTTCTTGAAATGCCTCTTATTTGGGAGTGGTATCGATCACTATATGAGTTTTTGTCATGTTGGATAGAAATTATTTAAACAGAGTTGGCAAGGTTTATAAAGTATGATAATAGACAACAAACGATTGTGGCTTGCAATTTATATGCTTCTTGAAATGCCTCCTATTTTGGAGTGGTATTGATCACTACATGAGCTTCTGTTATGTTTAATATAAATTATTGAAATGGAGATTTAAGGTGTATCAGTATAATAATAGACTGATCTTGCCAAGAAACAGGATTTTGGCTTGTAATAACTTTGAAATGTTCACAAGCACAAAATAGATGCACAAAGAGAATTTTACAGGTGCACCGAACTGTAATATCTTCTTTTTCTTTTTATTGCATTGTTATGACTATTGTTGATTTTAATTTCTTCAGGAGAAGTTTTACTTGTCAAAAAAAAAAAAAAAAAAAAAAAAAAGAAAAGAAAATTCTTCAGGAGAAGTTTGATTAGGATGCTAATTGAGTTACTTGACCATTATTGTGTGTGTGTGTACTTTTATTTTTAAACTCTAAATCTGAATTCATTTTTAATTTTTAGTCAGCGGTTCGGGATTTGAAAGCGCAACTTAAGCCACCATCAATGCAGGTATGACAATAGTGTTCTTTTTTTTTTGGGCTAAAAATTTCATTGTGCTTGGAATTGGAAAACTAGAAGCTAACATGAATAAACTGTGTTTTTTTCCTTCTTATATTCGCATTTATACGTCGTCTAAGTAGTCTTTCAGTCTTTGGTTTTTAATGGAATGGTTTCGACTTGGCATGTAACCTTGTTTACAAACATCTCTCTTTTTCCTTTATTTGTGAGACTCTCACTTGCATAGTTGCATTAGAAAAGGAAGTACTTATTGTTGACCTTATTGCTTTGCCTAGAAGTAAGTGGTCTTTCCTTTTTAAATTTCATATGCAGTGGTTGCATGAAATTAGAAGCAACAGATGTTATGAGAAGTCCTCATTACCAAAGAAACAAAAGATTGAAATATGCTTGTCAACAATCTTGATTAATAAAAACTATTTTGTCATAAATCCAATTGAAAATTACTCAAATCTGTACTGGCCAAAAATATCCTCTTCGTGGAAAAATCAGATTTTTTTCAAAAACTCAAAATACTGCTTATAAAAAAGAAGGTTTAATGGAAAAAATCTCATTAAACTATTTCTATGTATACAAACCTGGAGTTTAGTTTTTATTAAAATGTATGGGTTATATTTTACATGATAGCTTACGCTTTGTTTTGGTTGGGTGGACTAGACTTATACTCTCTTCATTGGTTTATTTGAATTTGCATTTTATTTGATTTTTTTTCTTTTTAATTGCACACACACCCATATTGCCCCCAAGGGTTGAACCTTCAGCCTTCCATTTGGAAGGAAATGCCACTTGAGCTAAAGGCTCTGTGGTTTATTTTAGATTTCAGCAAGAAATGTGCATATTTCACCTTATTCCTTGTATTAATGTAATCTATAAATCTCAAGCTTCTGGTTATCAAGATTTCTTAGACCCACTTAAATGTTTCCACTATATTGCTATGGTTGTGTAATACTGTCCTGGGTTATTTGTTTTGACTGTCTTGCTAGTGGCTTAGTTTTTTGTTATGCAAACCTGACAGGCAAGGAGGTTATTACTAGATCCAGCAATTCATGAAGAGTTTACACGATTAAAGGTGCGTTCTTTAGACTCCTGATCCTAATTGCAAGTTGAATTTTTTGCAGTTGGTTATTTTATTGCATGTGTTAAACTTTAAGAAAAATCTGGTTGCCTCCTATAATTCATGTATGATGTGCTATTGGCCTATCATTTAGGATTGCTTTGGTAGTAGGGTATGGTTGTAGAATGCCTAGTTAAGAAGCCCGAGACTCGGGGTTATCTGACGTGGCATGGGTTAATATTCCGGCATGCAGAGTTGTGATGTTTTTAGATTTTGCTGAATTCTCATTAGATTAAAGTGGATGGAACTAATCTAAAACTTTAGTTATAGCAGATTGTATTTGGACCTGTAAGACTAGAAATTTCTGATCGTCTTAGATTGATCTTTCTATGTCATATTAAGGCAGCTGTAGAACGAAGATGATAGTTTTTCCCATCAGAATGTATAGCTAGTTAAAAGAATAATTAAAATAGCATTCAGTTTCCACTTCAAAGAGTCCTTCCTTTAGAAGGGTATGCTGCGACAAGGCCCCAATTCTGGATAATTCGGCAAATTTTCAATATTTACTACCATTTTTGAGATAATTATCCAATTAACAGCTGATGAAACACAGTTTTGAGCTGCATTGTGGCCATTCTGGAATTTCTAAATATTAAATAGTTACGAAACAGTAGATTTAACTTTGTAGATTTTTTTCCTACTCATTTACGTGAATGTTGTTTCATCAAAATTAAGTTCTAATACAATTTTTTCTTTGTGATTATTTAGTTATTTATTTCTTTGCATGTCCTTGGCAAAGTAATGTGCTTTGTTTATACTTTACTGTAATCTTTGATAAATTGCAATCTTATTTTGAATCGTACATATAAAAATTCGTAAACAATATAGTTGTGACTTGGTAATTTGAGAGAAGTATTTATGCAAATTACAAAGGGGGCAGCCGTAGTTGCCTAGTTGGTGGTCTATCGGTGGTGGTGGGCTTACAGAAATTCTGTAGTATTTACACACACCCCTACCCCAAGGCTTATTGGCTCTTGAAAATGTGAAGCAAGCAACAATGAAGGTATAATCGTGCGTGCATAAACAATGGTGTCTGCGGTGTTGATGGCTGTTTTACTGGTATTGGTGATGCCAATGAATGTAGTGAAAATGGTGCGTGGTTGCAATGGTGGTTCTCTGTTGTTAACAGCTATGCTGTTGCAATTGTAGTAATTTAGCTATAGTTGCGAGACTTGGTGGCATGACAGTTGTGGTGGTGATGATCAGGAGTGCTGGCTCATGGCAGTCATGATGACTGTAATGGAAACAATGGTTTCTCTTTACTTAGTTACTTGTACAATGTCTAGTATATTCAGCATTCACTTAGACAGCAAAGAGTAAGTTTTGTTACACACTAAAATATCACAATCTTAGAATGTAAATCATGAACAATGTAATTCTTTGAAGAGAACACTTTAATTAGCTTGGTTCATTCATCATTTCAGGAACACTATGATGCATTGCTCTTTAATCTTCTGAAGAATGCTGCCCAACTTTTTAGGGTCCTTTTTATAAATATCCTTTATACCAAATTATATTCTTTAATTTAGTTAAGTTAATGATATCATTCAGGAATAGTGATTGCTATCATCTTGGGCATTGATTATGCTTTGTCATGTCTTTTGCCCTTCCTTCCATGTCTGTGTGTATCATCTGCATAGAGATGTTGTATGACTTGCCAGCTTTAAATTATATACCCTATATATATATATATTATGCTGCCATTTGAGATTACAGTCTGATTACATTGTTCTGTAATGTCACAATGCAGAATTTGGTGGAGGAGAAAGATAAAAAGGTGAAGGAATTGCATGACAACATTGCCGCCGTCAGTTTTACCCCACAAAGCAAGTTGGGGAGGCAGCTAATGGTAAAATGCCGAACCCTGCAACAGGAAAATGAGGAGATTGGAAATCAAGCTAACGAAGGAAAGGTATTGGTTTGCATCAGTTGGATATTATTGACGTTTTCAAATAATTGTTTGAGGAGAGAGGATAAATAGATAACATATTTGGATGGTGTTTGTACTACACTACATTTGGGTTGAAGGATTTGAAATGAATAGGTTTATGTTCAATCATTTAAAGTATTATAGCTTCAATCTAGAATAGGTAAGTATGTTTAAGTTTCAATATCTATTTATTGATTTGAGAGCTTTTTATGTACGGATTTCAAACAACTAGGTGGAAGGAGTTATTTGAAATCCATGCTGGTAAGGTTTTTAAGTTTCTTACTACATAAAATTGTTATAAAATATGTTTCTCGCACCTATAATCTAATAGTTCCTTGTGTTGGATCAAGGATCATTACCAAGTGTGGTCCTTGTTAATCAAGGTTGCTGGGAGGGATGGACTGGATGCAGACTTAACCATTGTCATTAATATGCACAAAGTGGTTGCTCTCCCGGTGCACTTAACCATTGTCATTAATATGCACAAAGTGGCTGCTCTCCCAGTGCACTTAACCATTGTCATTAATATGCACAAAGTGGCTGCTATCCAGTGTGCTAAGCAATTGCCCCTGTTCCCTTGATATTTGGGATCCAATTTTAGTGAACAATCTTTTGTTTAAATTCAAGGCCCTTTGTTTCAAATCCTCCATTTTCTCGTTTCATTTTCCCCCCTCGTTTGGTTGAGCGTCTGGTTGTTAGGGGCTTGGGAAGAGGTTGAGCTGTCTCAACATAATCAGTTGATTTTTTATTTTATTATTATTATTTTTAAAAGCAACAGAGTTATTAGAAACGTTTTTAGCGATTCAGATCACTCAGTTATTCAGACAATTTGTTGGGTGAATGCTACTAAAATTCGTGCACGCAGAGTTATTAATTTATTGCTGTGTGGGATAAATAGAATATAATGTGTATTATTACTATTATGTTCTTCCTTTTTTTTTTTCCTTTTTTTTTTCTTTTCAAGTAATGTCATCCGATTCAGAGCCAAAACATCTGGTTAATTGATTTGTTTTTTCAATATCATTGTCTGGCGTAGCAGATGCATGAGTTAGGAATGAAACTTGCCTTGCAGAAATCTCAAAATGCAGAACTCAGAAGTCAATTTGAAGGTCAGTGATTTTTGTATTGCGTGTTGAATCATAAATTGGGTTAGTTGTACTACGCATTCATTTCATTTTTACGATGATTTTTGCACAGCTTGTTCGAGTAACTGTGGTTTATCAGACTCACCAAAAAATTTTATTCAGTGTTTATCTCTACGACTTTGGTTTTGCAACAAATTAATGTTTATAGGGTCGCGAGCGAAAAACACCCCTATGGAATGCATATAAAGTGTATAACCCCTATACGTTCTTAAAAGTCCCTAACATAATTAACATTCATTTTTGGAGCAAACAAGGACCTGAATGCCGAAACCTATACATTTTAAAACCTCCTTAACATTTAATATTGGTGCAAACAAGGATTTGAATGCTGAAAAAACTAAAGTATCCTTCTATTACTGAATAAAAAATAGGTAAAAAAGCTAATTAAATGTGATAAGTGTATATATATAGGGACATTATCGGAAGAGACAAGGGTATTTTTGAAATATTATATATCTTAGAAATGTCATGTGCAATGCACATGACTAAATTTTTAATGAAACAATGACCTCAAGCCCTTCTTTGCCACATTTTTGCAAACTTAACGAACTTATATACTCAAAATAAAGGATAAGGGTGTTATTGGCCCAAAATGTAAACATTAGGGATGTTTTTCTCATTTTGCCCTTATAAGGGATTGTCAGAAGAGATAAGGGTGTTTTCGAAATTTTATATCTGAACAGTAACTTTAAGCCCTTTTTTGCTTATTTTTCAAACTTAACGGACTTATATACACAACATAAAGGATAAGGGTGTTACTTGCCCAAAATGTAAACATTAAGGGTGTTTTTCTCACTTTACCCATGTTTATAAAGTAATCCAAATCTAGCGGGACCAAATAAAAAAGCGGGTAATCTGAAGCTAACATTAAAAAAAGAAAACAAAATTGGGGAAGAGTGAAGTCAAATTTCTAACCCATATTAGGATTTTTTTGCTATTGGCCCTTGTATTGAAATTGGTATTGAAATTGATGGTGTATCTGCCCTAATGATACTATTGTTCAGTACCATTATGGAAGAAGGATCTGGGTAAGATATGCTCTACCTTGGGAGTGAAAAAAATAGCTACTTTAGGGCGTGTTTGGCTAATGCTTTTGCTTCGTTTTTGTTTTTGCTAGTGTACTGTAGCAATGCACGAAGCATGTTTGGTAACGTTTGCTGTCATTTGAATAGTACTGAAGCGCTTCCAAAAAAGAGGCCAAAATTAGAAGCATAAAAATGATGCTTTTGGTTGCTTCCGCACTGTAGCAAAAGAACTGTTAAAAAAAAAAAATTTTTTTTTTTATTTTATTAAATGACATTTTTAACTAGCCATTTAATTTTTCAAACTACCAACACTTTTTACCAAACATGCTTTCATGTATTTGTTTCCAAAAATTTTGCAACAATTGTACGTTACCAAACAAGCTTTGAAATAGTGTGGAACACACTCTAAAGCAGAAATACTGCTTCTACTTCGGGTCAAAGCAAACGTGGTTGCCAAACAGGCCCTTGGCTTCGTATTTTGGCTCAAGTTCCTAGTAATCTTGAGGTTTTAGTGTTAAATCATACCACAAGTTGTTATCAGGCACCACTGAGGTTCAGTTTTCCTGGAGGGGAGACTGTTTTCTTAAAGTTCTTGCCGTGGTTTTATAGGTCTCTTGCAAATGGTTTTGCATGTTTAGATAGGCAGCAGAGATGCATTGACACATTACGAACTCGTGGAGAAGGGGTGGTCTTTGTTTCCTTCTTTTGTTTAGGATGCCGTTTGTTTCTCCAAGTGCAGTGATTGATTTACTTTCTAGCTTAGTGGGAGCTGAAATGAATAGGAACATTGAGCAAGTGAAAGGCTTGGAATACATATCCTAACTGTTTATGTGTGTACTTTGTGGGAGAACATTGGCGTTTGAATGGGTGCAACCCATGTGCACAGGATGAGTAAAAATGATCAACTAGTGCAAAATAAAAAATATAGATCATCAAATAACTCAACAAAAGAATCTGTAGTCACCATAACAAAGAACTCAACACACAATAAAAAAATCAATTTTGCATTGTAAACTCTATCCATTTGGGATTCCCTACTCTCCTACTTTGTGGATGATGCCTAAAATGATCATCTCCCAAATTTTCCCAGTCCTTTTCCAGAAACAGTCCCCACCAACTAGTCAAGCTTGCACATCAATTCTGGGCTCCATATAACTTCACAGTGAGTAAAAGGATGCACCACAGTTCCTTAGCACACGCAATGAAGCATTAAAGTTCTAACTCTCCCTTGCTTCTTTCACATACATCAACAATTGGAACTTGCTTCTTCTTACTGAGGTTATGAATGGTTAAGATAGCTTTTCATGTAGCAGTCAACAGAGAAAACAAGCCTTTGAGATTTTCAGTTAAGGTTAAGTCTCACCCTTGGGTTATCCAGGTTCTAGTTACCTTGAGTGCATGTCAATTTTCAGTTCCAGACTGTTGAATGGATCTTATAACATTAGTCTTAGATATGTGAGAGTGGCTAATTCTGCATCCCTATTCAAAGGAATCTTTCAATTTATTTGACGCCAGGGACTTCTTGAACGACCAGTAAGGCCTCATTTGGCATAGTTTTTTTTATATACTTTTTGGCAATAGAATCACCATCATCATCTTTGCCTTATTCCCACATGAATGAGGGCCACGGGAATTCTCTTTCTCTATTCTTTTCTATTACATGTCATTTTACCTAATGTATTTAGCTTTTTAAAGTCGTTTCTAAGAACTTTATCCTATGTTATTTTTGGTCCCCCTCTTTGCCTCTTACCTTCTATGGAAATTAGTTTTGCTCTTCTCACGGGCGCATTTATAGGTCCCTTGTATGTGTGCAAACCATCTAAGTCTACTCTTTTTTCTTGTTTGATAGGTACCACTCCTAATTTTTCTCTTCTAGTCACTCCAACCATCTACCTTAGCAGTCTCTTTTCCGCAACATGAAGGTGTTCTGCTTATTTCTTTTTTAAAGCCTAACACTCCGCTCCATATAGTAGTTAGTCAAACAACGGTCCTATAAAATTTTCCTTTTTGCCTATGTGTTATTCTTTTGTCACATATCATTTTTTTTTTGATAAGTAATAATAAATTAAAAAAGGCGTTCAATAGGGAAACGCGTCCCGTAGACATAAAAGAACTCGGGGTCTAAGGCCCCAAAGAATCCAAAAAAGAAATTAAATCAACAGAAGAGGAACACGAACTTCTGTTCACATAACTAAAAAGAGAACGAAGAATAAAACATTTTAGAGTCGTAGTAGGCGATTCCTTCCCTTCAAACATTCTAGTATTTCGCTCTTTCCAGATGCACTACCAAATACAATGAGGAACAGATCTCCAATAAGCATGAACACTCCTACTCACACGACAACCTCTCCAAGCATGAATCAGCTCCTTAGTAGAGCGTGGCATTACCCAACACATGCCAAATAGGCCAAGAATGAGATTCCAGCAATCGCGCGCTACAAAGCAATGCATTAGGAGATGATTGACTGACTCCCCATCCCGCTTACATATGCAACACCAGTTAACAATAAGATTTCCCCTTTTCCTCAGATTATTGATCGTCAAAATCTTACCCCAAACAGTAGTCCATACAAAAAATGCCATCCTAGTAGGAACCATAGAACACCAAATAGTCTTCCATGGAAAATCATAGGATGCAAATTTAGATAGACATAAGAACAAAGATCTTATTGCAAAACGCCCGTGAGGGGAGGGAATCCAAATCAAATTGTCAAAACCCCTTCCAATTCCTTCTTGCCGATACAATTGATCCAAGAAAATGGTCACCTCTTCCAACTCCCAATCCTGAAATGAACGTCGAAAATGAACATTCATGCGCTAGCTTGTCGCCATTTTATCCATCCGGATCAAATTCTACTAGTTATACGCTCTCTATTTTGCTATCCTTTTGTATTATTGATCCTAACTAGCGAAAGTGGTTATTTTGAGTACTCTTTTGCTTTCAAGTGTTATCATTATATTATCAAGGATCGAGACTTTATTAAATTTACACTTCATATACTCTATTTTAGTTTGACTAATTGTCAATCTTTTTTATTCTAAAGCATTTCTCCACATTTGTAATTTATTTCTAAGATTTCTATAGAAGTATCTAATAACATAATATCATCGGCAAACAATATGCACCATGGAATGTCTTCTTGGAAGTATTTGTTTTTTCATTATATTATCAAGGATCGAGACTTCATTAAATTTACACTCCATATACTCTATTTTAGTTTGACTAATTCTCAATCTTTTTTATTCTAAAGCATTTCTCCACATTTGTAATTTTATTTCTAAGATTTCTATAGAAGTATCTAATAACATAATATCATCGGCAAACGACATGCACCATGGAATGTCTTCTTGGAAGTATTTGTTTTTTCATAAAAAATTATTGCAAATAAAACTGGACTTAGCATTGATCCTTGGTGCAATCCTATGTTTACTGAGTACTTGCTAGCTTCACCACACATATTACGAACTCTAATTTTTGTGTTCGTATACATTTCTGGGATGCTCTTTATTATTTGCATTGTAGTTTGTTTTTGTCGTAAAGCCCGTCAAATTATATCTATTGGGACCCTTTCATATGCCTTTTCTAAATCTATAAAAATCATATGTAGATCTTTTTGCTTACTCCTACACTCTTCAATTAATTGTCTGCAAGTATATAGCTTCCATTGTATATCTCCCCAACATGAATCCAAATTGGTTATCAAATACCATAGATTCCCTTTTTAATCTTTGTTCCATTACCCTTTCCCATACTTTTATTGTATTACTTATTAATTTAATTCCTCTATAATTGCCCCAATTTTGTACATCCCCTTTATTTTTGTAATTGGTATTATTGTACTTTTCCTCCACCCATTTAGCATCATTCCTTCTTTTAGAATGTTTGAAACAACTCTGTTAGTCACTCAATTCCCTTTCCTAGTGTTGTCCTAGTCTCTATGGGTATATTATATTGGTCTAATGCTTTATTAGCCCTCATCTTCTGAAGTGTCCTCAATTTTCTTATTGATGTTTTATTTACCATTCCTATGTTACATTCATTTACTAATACTTTCTCTCTAGGGTATTCCTCTTTTAAAAGGTTTTGGAAGTAGTTTTTCCATCTATCTATATATCCTTTTTTTTTAACTAATATTGCATTATCTGTGTCCTTCATAACCCTTCACCCTCTTTTGTGCTTAATTTTTCATTTAAGTCATTTAATGAGTCTTACTTAACTTTGCTCACTATCTTCTTGGCTTCACGTTTGAGTTTTTTTAGGCTTTAGAATGAGAGAAGCAAAATTATTGCTTCCATTTGACTTTGGAATTCGTAGTTGGAAACTACATTTTTGGAATAGCTTTTAATGTTAGAAGAGATTCTTTTCAATATTTGGCAGTAACATTTGTTGGATGCCTTGTATCACTGAAATAACTGTTTTGCTCTCACACTAGGTGCTTTCTGACGTTGTTTGGTGATTTTTTTTTACAAGTGACATTGTTTAGTAATGTAAAAGCTCTATTTATTCTCCATACACTTATTACAGAACATAGAAGCTTCATTTATTTATCATGACAAAGAAAACAAAATGTTTGTCCATTCTCTTATTTAATTTATCAGTTAAAATTTTCTTGACCTTTTAATTCAAGTCTCATTTGTCCTTGAATTGCATATCCTCTATGGGTCTATGTTACCTGGACTCACCGGAACCGGCAAGTGTCCGTGTTGGCACGACACAATGCTGCCACGGACACGAGATATGAGTCCGACCCTTCATTTGTCTACTGGACACGGCTGCCATTGATGGTGGTGCTAGGAAGCTGGTTCAAAAAACAAAAGGGGTTGGCTTCCATTGATGGTGGTGTTAGTTCTAAAACGTTGAAGATTGCATCTCAGCGAGAGTGCTTGAGATGTTTTTTTCTTTTTCTTTTTTTTTGTGGCTAAGATGAAGCTATCTCTTAATGTGTTATTTATTTAATTTTTTTACGGCAAATGTGAGGCCACTTGTCCATGGTAGATGCAACCTTTTAGTTAATGGGATACAGGTTACTACTGTAACTAATGGGTTACAGCTGTGAGGCATTAATTACTGCTATAACTAATAAAAAAGTAATAGTATAAGTTTAAACTGCACTTTTACTTACAAAAATACAATACTCGTAAGTTACAGCAGTAACTGTTGGTTACTTTTATTAAACAAATTTTAAAAACAGCTGGCATATTTCTTTCAAATGGCATTCGAAGGTACAGCTAACATAAACAAAAGGTACAGCTATGGCATGAAACCTGGTCAATATTTATTTTTATTTTTTTTACAAAATTGATGGCTCATACATTAAAAATTTATACAATTTTCATTTATAGAAGTGTCCAAGTACCCTTGTCTAGATATGGGACACTTTTTAGCCGAGTCCCCACATCCCTTAATTTGATAAATTGACGAATTTGACCTTTAGACTCGCACCCGTGTCTAACACCCGTACGCGAGTCTGGGTAACGTAGCTATGGGTTACCATCTATTTTATAATCATATGTTTTGTCAAAAATTACATATGATACAATGTAAATTATGGAAACACTGTATGACATAACATTAAGGGTAATATTAGGGGAAGAGGAAGACCAAAGTGTGGGTGGAGTTAATAAGGTAGGATACGATAACAGATGTTGATGGCAAAGAATTGTTGAGGAATTGGATGGTGACACGAATACACGATGCCGACGAAATGAAGATTGCGAGGTGATGGTAATGGTGGTGCTTCCAATGACTGGTTTCCGATGAAGGATGGAGATGGTGAAGGGATTTTTGGCTTAGGTTTTGAAGGTCTTGTGGTTCGGGTTATGATTGGTTTTGGTATTGTGCACAGTGGGTAGGTAGAAAAGGTTGTGACAACAGATTTTCTGGGAGGATGAGGTAGCTGTTGGTTATCGATTGGTGTGAACTGTTGGTTATCGATTGGGGTTTTAAGCTGTTACAGTGGTAGGGTAAGGAGTTAATGGTGTGGTGAAGATGGGTAAGGGTTTTGGTTACATGGTAGTGTGGTTTTTGTGACGGTATGGGTTTTCTATTTCTTGTTGTTTGATGGTGGTTTACAGTACTGTGATGGGGTAAGGCTCATAATTTTGTGTTTGGTGAAGATGACATCGCAACCAGGGTTAGGGTTTTATGCATGAACAGTGGGTTTGGCTGTAATGGTGATTGGTTGGTTCACAGTGGTTTGTAGAGGTAAAACTCGATGAACAGTATGCAAATTGACCTTGTGAACACGGTAATGAATGGGTGGATCTTTTGCTCTGACTTGGAACCTGACTGTGATACCATGTAGTGCTTATGTACCGAATTGATGTCGCAGAGAAGAAGAATGTAGAGAAGAGAGAAGAAAGAGAATTAGGGGGGAAGAATTTCATTTCTCAAATATTCTCAATAATCAATAATCATCAAAACCTATCCAGCTTAATTTACTCAAAAAAGAAAAAAAGAAGAAAAACCTAAACTAAGAAAATATGAAAATAACCCTAAATCTAAACTTAGAAAAAATAAAAAAAATATTTTAACCCTAATTTTATCTATCATTGCCCCTTCTCCAAAAGTAGAGGCGAGTCACGTGTGATCTCTGCCTTGAGTCACGCCTCGTTCATCATCAGATACCCCTTATAAGTCTCGCAAATGTTCAATGGCAATTGCAGATGACTAGAGAATAACAATGGTTGATTTTTTGTTGAGTTGCATAACCTAAATGATTCTTCTTGCATCTGCATAACCTTAAGTGATAAAAGAGGAACAGCTAAAGTTTTATCAAAAAGAGAAACAGCATCGCATGTTCTAAGAAAGCTCTTGTGGTGTAAGCTGTTCCCATCAGCTTCGACCCAAGGGGCTTCCAGATGCATGAAGCTCTTTAACTCAGGCAATTCCAACACTCGAAAAAGCTGCTTTTGTGAATTTTCATCAAATTTTATTTTCGTTACCTTTATGTTTTGTTCGTGCTCGAAGAACATTAGAACCACTGAGATTGCTTTCTTCTTTTTGTGCGGGCACGTGGTTGCACACAATGCACGCATAACTTCAATTTGATTGCTGTTTCTTTGTGCCTTGTGGTGTAAGCTGTTCCCATCAGCTTCGACCCAAGGGGCTTCCGGATGCATGAAGCTCTTTAACTCAGGCAATTCCAACACTCGAAAAAGCTGCTTTTGTGAATTTTCATCAAATTTTATTTTCGTTACCTTTATGTTTTGTTCGTGCTCGAAGAACATTAGAACCACTGAGATTGCTTTCTTCTTTTTGTGCGGGCACGTGGTTGCACACAATGCACGCATAACTTCAATTTGATTGCTGTTTCTTTGTGCCTTATTTTCATTCAAAATTTTATTTTTCAGTTTTAGTATCATTGTTCACGTCATTTTGATGTTTTTGTGGTGTTGTATACAGGATTGTGTAACCATATGGAGGGACTGACAAATGATGTGGAGAAGTCGAATGAAATGGTTTTCATCTATCCTACATATTCTCATTCACTTATTCTACTTAAATGAAACATATGATCATCATGGTTTTAACTTCTAAGAGGTGAATGAAACTTAGTGCTCCGTTGTTGCTGAGGAGATGGGAAGAAATGGGAGCTGGGGATCTTTACATAAACGTTGCAACATTGCAGTTTTTTTTAGTTCCAAGTCCTCTTTTCTTCTTAATTATCTTTGCAATCAAATGGAGCATTAAGACGAATGCCTCAGGGACCAAGTGAAACCTTGGAGGTTTGACTTCATTATGGTTGGGAGACTCATGTCTCGTCTTGCATCTTAATACTAATCCTGTCAATTTTGGCATGCTATTCTGTTACATATGGTAATCCTTTTGATTTTTTCCCATGGATATTGATTAAATTTTAATTTGTAATTGGGTTTCTTTCAATGTTATCCCTAATATAGTGTACTTGCAGAGGTCCAATTATTTGGTTGAATTTGTAGATATAAACCAAGCCTACATGTCAGATGTTTACTAAATTTCACACACTGATCCATTTTACAGAGTCCAATAACTTCTGATTTTTCCTAGAATGGAATTTTTTTTCTTGTGCCTTCAAAGGAAAAAGTACTAAATTTTAAATGCGCAACAATAAAGCTCCTCCCAATGTACAGGATATAAAATTTAGGGGTGGCAATTCGTGTTGGCGGGTCGCAATTGTGTCATGTTGACCTATGAGTTTTCTGTTAAACAGGCCAACCCGGTCCGTTCAATAATCGTGTCAGGGACCCTTGACACGTACACGACCCGTTTATTAACAGGTTACCTGTGTAACCCGTTTAATTTAAATGGGTAATGTACATATTTATTTAAGTATTTGTACTGATTGTACATCATGTGCACAAAAAAATTGATATGTTGTCTTATGGGGAGGTAGGGTGGAGGGAGACTCGAAAAACCCTAAAAAAAAGCAAGCTAGGGAGGACTATTATGTTTAATGTCAATATTAGGTTTTCAGAACTGAATTTGATAGCAGAACCATAATGAAGATGTAGCTTTCTTATCAGAATCCAGTATGAAAACCAACAATAATTTGATTCCCTCAGTTTTTAAATTTCGACAATTTATATGCTTTACCCAAAAAAATATGCAGTTTTGGGACTTATGATTTCAATGCCAAATTACTTGTCAAAATGAATGTTTTATGGAACTACGATATAAAAATCATTAAAGGGGCAGCACCCTAATGAATGTTTTTCCTTCCTGTGTGTCTGAAACTCAGCACAGTTATGTTACTTTATCGTTTATGAACAAAGCTTTATAATGAGCCTAGATTAATGATGTTCTACATATGGTTGGAATCTTACTTTGAGGCTTTGGTTGATGGTGATTATCTTAGTAACAATGGTCTATATATGTGAGTAGTTCGTTTTTTTATTTTATTTTATTTTTATTTTTGAGTAGTATGTGTTCATGTTATAGATGTCAAAGATCAATTACTGAGTTAGAAACATCTGAATCTAAGACTCCGATGCATCAAAATTCACTAGTGTGCAGTTGGGATAATATAATAAAAATGCGAGCTTGTACATAGAACTTCAGCCGACAAAAAAGTAATCACCTTATATAGACTGAAATCCTAAAGCAATTCATTGTGTGGTTGGCTTGAATAATCACCTTTTGACTTTGTAATCTCCTTCCATGCGCTCCAGTTGAAGTAGAAAATATGGTCTTTTTACACACTTTGTTTTATGGGGATTTAAATTTCTCAACTGATTTACCTATCTAGGCAATTCAAAAATATTATTTTCGATGCTAATCCATATGCACTTCCTTAAATGCTTTTACTACCTCAATCCTTCTAACTTTACATGGTCATATTTAATTGCAGGTGCTCATCTTGCAAGAGAGTCTGGGAGAGAAGGATGCTGAGATCAAAAGGTTGAAGGATGAGCTGGAACGGAGGAACGTGGTGGAGGGGGAAAAGACGGACACAATTTCAGATGAGAAAGTGATGGTGATGGTAGCTGGTGAAACAGAAGCCTGAGAACTAGTTAACTAATCTATTTTGGAGGGAATTTTTTTTTTTTTTTTTTGATCATTGTTCCTCCTCGTCTGTACATTGTACATTAATTTTGGATTTTGTTTCATCATTTGAATTTTCTTCTCTCTTGGCCGTTAAATTTGAAACTTGAATTATTCGTGCAACTGCCGAAGCTATTGTAGCATAATGGTCTAGCATGGTTTGTAGAACGGAGAGGCTGGGTTCTCTCCATTTTTGACTTCCCATCTCCCAGAAAACCCAATCTAAAGAATTGGGGGTCACATAATAGCATAGTAAATTAAGTTAGCTCTCCATCCTTTAATTTCTTTGGAAAGCTTTCTATGCATAATTGATAGCAGTTCTGAGGTTATTATCAAAGTCCACAGTTAAGGAGTTAAATTTTGGTTCTGTAAGGCCTGAGATTACTGGACTTGTTCATGCATGTCTCTTGCATTTTTGTTACATACAGAAATGTATTTTTGTACCCCAATAAGGGCTTGTTAGTTGTTAGGGCTGTTGCTAGAATAATCCTCCTTAATTCGGCGTGTTTACTATATTTTCATGGCTAGAATGTTAAGGGTGATTAGTGGGAAGGTGGGTGCGAAGGCTCTAAGCTGGGCTCCCAAGGATAACGGGGAGCAACCATACCTCTTAGGCTACAGAAGCATTTGGAAGGGCACAAATTTTGTTAAAAAGCAGTTGGTAAGAAATGCAAACAAGTTTGAAGAATTACAGTTTGCTTTCCCTCCTGCATATGGATACATTCTTGTGTTTTATTGTTGTTGTTGTTGTTTGTGTGTTTTTTTTGGTTGGCTTGAATTTTAGTAAGTTTATCGTAGTTTAATTGTTCTCAGGGGCCTTAATTGTTTGATTATTGTTATATCATGTTTCTTTCTTTTTCGTTTATTTACGAAAGAATTGCACTGTAAATACTGAAATTTAAGTGGTTTTTAAACTATTCGAATTGTGAATGTATTGGTCAAATGGTATTATAATCGAAAGGGGTGGATTGGTGGAAGAAATGAGATGAAATTTACATGGATTCTCTGTAATTATGTTTAATGCATAACAAGAGCATCTGAATACTTGTAAGTTTCATATCTGAAGTGAGTTTTCTAGAAATTGCTGAGTTTTAACAAAAGCCGCTCTACGAGGTCGTATCGATTGGTTGAAAGGCCTGAAAGAGACGTTCTGGGGGAAGGATACCCGATGGTACCGGATTCGAGTTAAGTTTTCTGGTATTCGGTGAGAAAGGAAAAAGAAAATTTATGTGATCAGAATTATTCACATGACAAGAATATTAATGAAGATGAGAGTCGGTTGGTGTATTACTCCTTGTAATTTTTGGAATAGTATATCGTTACACTGTACCAAGCAACGGTAGAAATGTAAATGTAACTCATTGTAAGCTTCTTCTTATTGGTATTATTACTTTTCATTTAGTTTCTTCAATGTTGCAAGCCGAGTTCACATTGTAAAATAATAATTATAATAATATTAAAAACTATTCCAAAAAAATAAAAATAATGAACTCTCAAATTAATTTGTTATCTTGAGTTGTTTTTTAGCTAAACACTTTCTATTGCAGTTGTAAAAATAAATTAAAAAAAATTTATTGGTCTTCAATATTGTGTTATACGAGACTATACTCACGCTGAGAGGGAGCTTGATCCAAGGCTGTTTTGTGGTAGAAGCCCTTTGGGCCTGTAAGTGGTCCAAGCGACCTTTCCGTGACGAGACAGGCGTTCCGCTCACTTTAGTGAGAATGATCAGCTTTTAAGAAAAATTATGACTATTGATGTGATTGAGAATGATATATTTAATGTGCATTGTGCATCGATGAACGGTCGTGATGGTCCGTCCACAACACACAATCCAATACATATTGATTATTAAATATCTTTTCGCAATTTAAACTATATATTTAGAATACACAACATGGCGCAGATATGATGATGGTCCGGGACACATTCAATATATTCTCGTGATCTAAAATATTTATTTAGAATATTGTAAACAATACTTTTCTCCTTCCAATAAATGACAGAGTACACAGAGCAAACACACGTAAGCTTGCTTTACATTCAATGCTAATAAATTCTACGCAACTCCACACAACCGTTACGTGTCAATCATTCACCGGGCTTGTGGAAGACGGAGTGGTGAGGTGGCACCCTATGCCCTAAGTCCTTTCTTTTGAAGGATTCATGCGAATAATTTTTATTTAGACTATCTTTGTTTAAATGTAAAATATTTTTTAAAAAGTATTTTTTTATTTTTTAAAAAATATTTTTTATTTTTGATGTTTAATTATTATAAAATAATTATGAACAAAAAAAATATTAAAATTTTACAAAAATAACTTATTTATTAATTTTTAATAAATTATTTTATATGTTTATCCGATAAAGTCAATCTTAATTTTGATATAAATTTTTGTAAAATATTGACAAAGTAAAAATAAAAAAATAATTTATCTAAAAAACAAAATTTGAAAAGAATATTTTACTTTCAAACAAGTGAGCCTAAAAGTGTAAATTACACACTTATTCTGAAGTTTGAATAAATTACGGTGTTCACTATGCATTTCTTGTAATTTGCTTCAACAATATTTGTAATGCCTTAAGAACCTGCCTCTCGTGCTCCTCAAACTCCTTCCTCTCTTTCCCTAACCTCTCGCTTTCTCTCTCTTCCTCCAACTGAATCCTCCGCTGCTCTCTGGATCATTCAGCCGAGCTGCCTCCTCTGGATCGTTCAGCCGAGCTGCCTCCTCTTCCTGTTCCTTCGCCGCCAATTCCTTCCTCTTCTCCTTCTTCGCCGCCTTCCTCTTCTCCTTCAGACTCATCCCACCACCCTCCGACCCCTCAACCGCCGACTGAGGATTCACTTGCGCACACTCCGACGCTCCTCCCTCTTCTTCTCCGGCGACCAGCTCCACCATACGATCAACTGCCGGCAACGGGCTATAGATACAGAGTGTTTGTATCTATATGCGATGTGTGAAGTATGAACAAAGAGATTAGGGCTTGAGTTGCCCGATCAGTCTGAACGAAATACTCCTGTATGGTACTCCCTTTCAAAATAAGTGTCAAGATTTTCTTTTTTGACCTGTTTAAAATAATTATTTATTTTTTTTTAAATAATATATTTCACATATTTTTATATATATCTTTTGAATTTTAAATTTAAACTTGAATATATCTTTTTTAAAAGGTAATGCATATTTTATATATTCCTTTCAAAATTACTATTCCCTAAAAACCGACAAACAAAAAAAGTATATTTTTAAGCGTTTAAATATGAGATCGAACTGTGCAGGACTATAAATTATTTTGTGGTCCAGTCAATACCAAACTATCACATAGCCCGGTCAATAATAAACTGTCACACATGTTGTAAAAAAAAAAAAATAAAAAAAAAACACTAAATACTCCAAGACTATAACCATTTTTAATATATGAACTATAATACATTTGGTAAGAAAAAATTAAATGCAAGTGAAAATAGAAGGATGGTTCTTATTTTATTATTTATTGTTTAATGATAAATTTAAATCGATATAAGAATTGAATAATGATTATAATTTTAATATTTGGTTGGATTAATTTAAAACTTAATAATATTATTTTATATATATATTTTTAAAAAATTGGTGGTGATATAAAGTTCAATTGAACTACCGAATTGTCTATTTTATTTTTCTTTATGAAGCAAAACAAAAAATAAACGAAAAAGACCTCTTATAAGTATTTATGCTATATTTTTAAAATTATAATTATATATTGATCATGTTAATTTTCACGTTTAAGTTTGGTTTAAATAACTGACCCCTTAATCCGACTGTTTATAAATTCAAACTAAAATTGGAATCCATAACAATTAATATAGACTTTGAACTGATCAACCTCATGTAAAATTAGATTGTAAACGATGAAGTCTCAATAGGGACAAATGGATACTCTTTTAAGTCCTTCAATTTTGTAGCAGACAGTTTTCTTCTTTTCTTTTTTTTCTTTCTTCTAAAATTAGCTTTTTGTTAAAAAAAAAATAGAATTACAAAAAAAAAAAGTTATAGAAATAAAATAAAATATTTGTTTTGCTGAAATAAAATGTAGATTACAGTGATTATGCAATGATTACCTCAAAATGCACTGCAAATTTTGTTACTTTATATTGTAAAATATATATATATATATATAAGATGATAAAAAATTTCACCAAATAGGATTTAGTTTGCAAAACAAGAATTACAGACCTTGATTAGTTGATATAGAAAAAAAAAATAAAACAAAACCTGTACAAGTTAGCAGTTGCAGGGGGGGAACTTGAGGGTTGAGAGACAGCGGCTGAAGCTTGCGAATGGCGAACCCGAACTGGAACAGCGGGCGATGGAAACTGAAAGATACGGGTTTTGATTTTTTGAACAATCTGAAATCATATGCCGATATGGGTTTTGAACTTTTGATTCTTGCAGACAGATAGATAAATTGAAATATATGGGTTTTCAACTTCTGATTGTTGTATATTTTGTAGTTTGCAGTTGCAAAGAGAGAGAGAGAGAGGGCAAGTTCAGAGTCGAGAACGAGACTAGAGATGGACGCGATTTGGGAGGCTGAAATGATTTGCCCTATTATTATTTATTTATTTATTTATTTATTTTTTCTGGTGGCCCATCATCCATGGGCCTATAAATTTTGAGGCCCTAGGCGACCGCCTTGGGTCAGGGCCGGCCCTGGATGTTCTTGATGCATTATAGGTTTTGAGGTAGTGTCATTACATTTGTTTTTACCTTAATTTCATGACAATGTTACCTATAGCGCACTCCCTTATATGTACCTTATGTGACAATGTTATAATTCTCCAAGTGTTTGTGTTTGTGTGTGTGTATGTGTGTTTTTATTATATTTTCCTCTAATACCCATTTGGAAGCCTTCTTATTGGGACTTCATTTTTTCTTTCTTAAAACTAATGTTTTTACTCACAAATAATAGTCTTCTTTTAAACTTTATGATCAACATGTAACTGACACTAATATGATATTTTGTGGCAATTTTGCGAATCTCAAAGGGGAAATTCTTTATTTGTTTAGAAGCATTGGCAAAGGATTTTATGATTGGGGTGAT